TTTTTTTTTTCAAAAAAGTTTGGTTTCCGAGAAGAAGAAAGGCCAGCGCACGATTTTAGATCTTTCTGCTAAAAAGGTTCGCACCTTCCCTGAGAAAGTGTATCGCGAAAACGTCTGCGTTGTTCTCTCCAGTACTTCACTTTTAGTGTATCATTGAGCGCTTCAAAGAAGAAATTACGCTATACCAAGAAAAATCAGGTTCCTAAGTTTTCTGTCTCGCAATAAAATGATGCTCTACTCGGAATAGCACGCGGTGACCGCGGCGGCGGCGCGACATCTGCCTGTTAAGCTCTGCTAGATACACAAAATATTCCGAGCTAATGACTTTTTGGGTTTCGCGCTAAGTTTAATTCTCAGAGGTTCTTTTACAGATGTTTCTTTTAAAAATGCAGGAACTGTTATAGATTTGCATGACATGCTAGCGCGAACTGTTGTTCGTCGATTTATCAATATAAGAAGTATCGCATCAACTTCCAAAGACCCTTCTAGTGCTCATAAGGTAATCTTTAGAGTACGCAGCATATATAGCCTTCATGAGAGTTCTTTCATTTTCAAGGACAAACGTTCAGTTTAAATGAGATAAATATGTGTGGGGTTTTTTGGACTGAAGTAGGCACAAAATCCTTGGATCGTAGTGAAATGATTCGTTGCCACTTCAAGAAATGTACTTAAATGAACTTACTAAGCATTTTGGTGATTCAGGTTACGTCCGTGGATGACCTTGCTCAAAATCTCCTCTCTGCTCCACCGTCACGTCTGCCAAAAGCATTTGTACGACTTCGAGCAGCTTGGAGAAATAGGATGTACAGGGATTCGTTGGATCCTACCCTGAAAAATGTAGTAGCATCTTCTTCTTCATCTTCAGCTGAGCATTTTCTTCTTTTTTCAGTTGCTAGATACTGCTTCTGCTCAGCTTTATTACAACTGTGCGAACAATTACGATTACGAGAAGCTTTGCGAAGGTGAGGCTAACATCATAAAATAAGCTTTGTTTTCTCATATTCATAACGAATAGCTCTTCGAAGTTCCTGAATTTTTTAATTTTATCTTCGCAATATTAGCTGCTGTGTTGAAATGGGGAAGTACTGGAAAGTTAGTGTTGTTCATTAAATACGTGATGCTCTTATTCAATTTTTGCTTCGCTGCTGTGTGCTTGTGTTCGAAACGTTTGAACAAAGATTGTCGGAAGTGCTTGTAGTACTATTTTACGATAGAATTATGATATGTGCACTGCAGCCATTAGTAGTCTCGAGTTCTCTGAAAACGGGCACAGTGGAGTTGTTTACTGTGCAGAAATCAAATCGGTGAAATTTCTAAGCTTCTAGTGCGCGTTTTTGAAAAGATATTTGGGAACATAACTTCTACAGTGCACTTACCGTATCCCTGTAATAAAACAATACCCTACAGTATTGACATGTTTGTTCCAGCATTGCATTAAGAATTCACCTTTAATCAAAGAATTTCGGCTTCCATAAAGTTAGAATAGACGAATAATATGCTCTGAGGGTTCTCAATGTGTTAATACAGAAGCATAATTTTTCTTGCATATCGCTAACTTGGATTCGACAGTTGCCTATCTGTAGTGTGTTGTGATAATTACTTATGTCATGGTTACTTTCTTATTTAAGCTTTCGGTCTTCCTGACTACATGTCATCTTGGTATAAGCTGACGCTAATGCATTGTTGGTGAGCACTTCACAGTTTTTTTCAACTTCTTTTGTTGTGATTTATGTTCTAGATATTAAATTGGTTTCCTAGGATGGTATTAACACGGATGCATGTCTCATTAGATGCGCAAGCATATCTTCGACTACAGCGAAGTATGCTGGCAACGCTATGGTTAGATGTGGACACTCGGCTAAAAATCGTCTCGGTAGGGGTATCATCTTTGAAAGTGCTATCTCACTGAATCCTCTTTATGACTCTTTTGAATGTAGAGCTTTTGTAATGATAAAATTATGACCGTTTGATGACGAGAAGTAATATAAGTAATATGCAAAGGAGTTCCTAGCTATTCTAGGAGGAACTGAAGCAAACACTCACATCTGAATCCGATATGAAGAAAATGCATGGGCTTCACTTACAGACATTTTTAGAATATGATGAGGTACACTGCTTTCTCGTATTTGCAGACTTTTGCACAAATCACAAAATGGTGACTAGCTAGTACTTTGGACATATTATAGGGTTTCTTAGCGGATGACCGAGTTTTTGCCGGTGCTATATGGCGATGTTTGTACTTGAGCAGAACTTGTGATCCTATACATGTTCTTAGAGTGATTGCCTACATGCGATCTACGGTGAGCTACTGCTTTCAATGATCTCAGTAACTGTAAGGTTTCATCATTTCAGATAGCTTGGCTTGATACTCTTGATTTGAACGATATCTTGATAGAAGGTGTAAAAGAATGGAAGCAGCTGAAGCCGAAAGACGCCACTTATGAGAGAAAAGCAGATTTATCCGCAGAAGTTAGCGAAGAGAAGAAGAAATATGAAACGAAGGCGTTGTGACGTTGTTTTGTTGTAATAGTTAGCTAGTCTTTTTACATTTTCTAGGCAGTAGTGCCATCTTACAGAAGATGTGCGCATATCTTTATCTGCGATAACACTGTAATAGATTTTTTTAATACACGATTGTTTTACTTACGAGACGATTTTCCTACGTTGGTTTTATTGTATCACAAGCTCAGTCGGCAAAAGTGGTTAAGTGCCTATGAACGAAATCTGGTTCTCAGAGTCTTTTTTACCTCATTATTTTTTGAATGTTTATGCGAAAATGAATTTTTTTCTCAAATCTATCTTTTTATTGAAATATTGAAGTGATGGCAACGCTGAACAAGTTCATCAAGCTTATAAATTCGCTGGCCA